TTTAAAATTTGGGTCAAATGGACTTAAGTTATGCGTGGAAACATATTTTTTCAGGTATCAATGTAATAGTGACCTTCAACCTTTGACCTTGTGACCCCAAAATCAATAGGGGTCTTCTACCCAATATGGACAATCATCCTATGAAGTTTGAACATTGTGGGTCGAATGGAACTTAAGTTATGCTCTGGAAACTGTTTTCAGTTATAAGGTAATAGTGACCTTGAAACCTTTTTGACCCCAAAATCAATAGGGGTCTTCTACCCAAATATGGACAATCATCCTATGTAGTTTGAACATTGTGGGCCAATTGAAACTTAAGTTATGCTCCGGAAACTGTTTTCAGTATCAAAGGTCATAGTGACCTTGACCTTTGACCTTTTGACCCCAAAATCAATAGGGTCCTTCTACCCAATATGGACAATCATCCTATGAAGTTTAAACATTGTGGGCCAATTGGAACTTAAGTTATGCTCCGGAAACTGTTTTCAGTTATATAGGAGTAATAGTGACCTTGACCTTTGACCTTTTACCCAAAATCAATAGGGTCTTCTACCCAATAGGACAATATCCTATGAAGTTTGAACATTGTGGGCCAATTGGGAACTTAAGTTATGCTCCGGAAACTGTTTTCAGTATCAAGGTCATAGTGACCTTGAACCTTTTGACCTTTGTGACCCCAAAATCAATAGGGGTCTTCTTCCCAATATGGACAATCATCCTATGAAAGTTTTGAACACTTTGGGTTGAATGGAATTTAAGTTATGCTCCGGAAACCGTTTTCAGTTTTAAGGTAATAGTGACCTTGACTTTGACCTTTTTGACCCCAAAATCAATAGGGGGTCTTCTACCCAATATGGACAATCATCCTATGAAGTTTGAACGATTGTGGGCCAATTGGAACTTAAGTTATGCTCCGGAAACTGTTTTCAGTATCAAGGTCATAGTGACCTTGACCTTTGACCTTGTGACCCCAAAATCAATAGGGGTCTTCTTCCAATATGGACAATCATCCCTATGAAGTTTGAACATTGTGGGTCGAATGGAACTTAAGTTATGCTCCGGAAACCGTTTTCAGTTTTAAGGTAATAGTGACCTTGACCTTTGACCTTTTGACCCGAAAATCAATAGGGGTCTTCTACCCAATATGGACAATCATCCTATGAAGTTTTAACATTGTGGGCCAAATGGAACTTAAGTTATGCTCCGGAAACCAAATTGCTAACGGACGGACGGACGTACGGACGGACATACCAAAATTTGATGTTTATGAGGCAATTGAGCTCATAAACACCACCTGGACCAACGTCCATAAGCAAAATAAGCTCATAAAAACAAAAAAAAGCTCTTAATTTTAAATTTTATGAGTTTATGTTCTTTATTTAACTACGGAATGAAGCTCATAATAATCAAATGTTGGCTCGGACGGACGGACAGACGGACGGACAGACAGACGGACGCCAGGGGGTATAACATAATATGCCCTTTCGGGCATATAAAAAGGCCATTTTAGTACCAAACAATATAGACAGAGTGCACACATGACCTATTGTTGATCGTTCAATAACAATATATGATATTTAATTAAATATGCACATATTCACTCATTTTGACAGTACTGACAGTCCCTACTCTGACATTATTATTTGAATAACATTGACATTTGTAAACAAATATTTTGTGGGGAAATTGTCATTGGAATCCAATTATATGATAACTCCAATTAGCCAAATGAGGAACAATCTGATGTAGTGGCGGCATGGTCGAGTGGTTAACGTGTCAGACTAGTAATCAAATGATCGCTAGCCGCATGGGTTCAAATCCCGTCAAGGGCAAGTCATTGTTTCCTTGAGTAAGAAACTTTACACTCTTTGCTCAGAACTGGTTGGTTCCAGGAACAGATTCGAAAGTGTGTCTTTAAGCTTATAGGTTCCTACACAATTGAACTAAAATAAATTCTGTATAAACCAATATGATGTAGTGATCTACGCAATAAGAATGGTTTATAAGTAAACTGATTGACATAACCAAATCTTTTACCTTGCATTCTTGATCACCTAATATCACCACTCCTTTAAGTTCATCTTTAGCCTTTGTTGCAGCATTAGCAGAGTAAAATGTCACAAAGGCATAGTAACCACTAGTTGTCTCTCCTAAAATGATATAATAAAAATATTAAAAAACAACAAACACTTTGTTAACCTGCAGATCTTTTGTCATATATATGCACTACTATGAACCTGAAATGGAGTGGCGGCATGGCCAAGTGGTGAACAGGTCAAACTAGTAACCTACAGATTGCTGGCTAGTAGGTTCTAGCGCCTTCAGGCATCAGGGGCAAGTTTTTATGGTCCTTGAGCAAGAAACTTAACACAAATTGCTTAGTACTGGTTGGTTCCAGGAATGGTTTTGAGAGTGTTTCATTAAGCTTATTACTTCTAACAGAAATTTGTTTAAACGAAATTGTATATACATGTAGCTGATTTTATTTTATGGATTTTGTAACAATACTTATAATAATACACCAGTATGAAGTAATGCAGGATGACCTAGATCTTAACTGATGTGAAATATCAAAACATGTTATGATTGCAGGTAGTAGCAAACTTAGTTATTGCCCAAATGCAGAACCATTTTGTCAACTAAAAAGAATTTAACAAGAGGGCCATGATGGTCATTATATCGCTTACCTGATCATAAAGGCTCAATCCCATTTTATTTGGGCTGTGTGGCCTAGTTTTTGACAACAAATGACCCATATTCATACTTGACTTAGAAATCACCAAAACAACCTTTCTGACCAATTTCCTGGATATTTGGACCAACATAGTAGCCACTAGGGGGTTAACAAGATTTTTCTATTTTCAGTACCTAGTTTTTCATCCAAGATGACCCATGTTCTAACTCATCTGAGCAATTACATAGACAAGCATCCTGACCAAGTTTGATGATGATTGAGGCAAAAATGTGACCACTAGAGTGTTAACAAACTAAATGTCGACGGATATTCAACAATCCTTAAAGCTCACCCTGAGCTAGCTCAGGCGAGCTAAAAAGTTCTAAATTTTTTTGCTCTTAAGGTCTTTCAAACTTACTGGTGAAATGCACTTAAATGCTGGTACAGTGTACATTATAAGTAAACAGTACACAAGTAAACATATTACCAGCAGTATTATCAGCTTTATGTCCAGTTTTCCATTGTGTTGGATAAACTTGTGCGCCATACACCAATCCAAATGGATCAAAAATCTTCCGTAGTTCAATCTAAAATATATAAAATAACATTCTATTGGGATGGCGACTATATCATGAGTGATTTTGTACATCATGGAGAGCCTACAGTTGATATGTTTAACATATACTATTATCTAGTTGGTGCCATTTAAGTGACACAGGCAACTGGGAAACACGGGATGTGTGTCCAAAGACAGATTTGTTCCCACAGACACACACCTCTTCTTTACACCGATTTTATCTGATCAATTTGAGTTTGACTATGGGGGCAGTGGACTTCACATGCATAGTCTAGTTGCATTCTGGTTTATAATAATACAGTTGCTACCAAGAAAATAATTAGACCTTTCTGCATGAATGTGCAACAAATGAAATGACTCACCTTCGATTGCAAGTATATCCAATCCAATACAATCTATTCTACTTTCACCGCTATATACATGTACATTTGGTCATATTACCAGTGGTTAATACAAATCCTAATATACTGTAGACGAAATTAATTTCTCTTATTTTTTTGTTGCACATTTATGCAAGAATGTTTAAACTTACAGTCTGCATATCTTTTGACTCATAATATTGTTTTTTTTGTAAACTATGACGGATTATGTTGCATTTCAAAATTGCTTAACATTTTCCTAAAGGAACTTATGATTTTGCTGGATGTTTATCTAAAGGAACTAATGATTGAGTCGATAAGACATTGGAGTTTGTTTGTTTGTTTGATTGGGTTTCACGTCACATCAACACAGTATAGGTCATATCACGACGTTCCAGCTTTTACTGGTGGAGGAAGACATCAGGTGCACTTCCGTGCATTATTTCAGGCACGAACGGGCACATGAGTAGAACCACTGACGTTCCGTAAGCTAGCTGGATAGCTTCCTCACATGAAAGAATCCAAAGTCCCTGTAGGGATTCGAACCCACAGCGGTGAGGGGCAAGTGGTTTGAAGTCACCGACCTTAACCACTCGGACACAGATGCGCCAAGACGTTGGAGTGTACGTAGTACTAATGGAAACGTCTTATATGTTATAGGACTCTTATGTTAGAGTGCCATTGTAACTGTAACAATAAACATATCATTTTGAAGAAAAAGTAGGGGATAGATTAAAAGGTAACTGATTTACCACGACATCATCTTCATGTAGAACACCTGGAATATTGGTTATAAACAGATTTTTCCTGCTGCCATCTGGTCTAGTGAAATCTATTATTTCTACACCTGGATTCATTCGAGTTTTCAACAGGCCATTGACATCATCAGTAAAACTACGTCTCAAATGATTGACATATTATATTGCAAAGAACTAATTATTAAATTAATGGGCTTTTTACAACTTAAAAATATCATCTGTCTCATTAGCCGCTTTTCTAAAGCGTTTAGAAAACCGAGATTTAAAGGCTATGGGCTGTCCCGTTCCGTACCGTATCAGTAGCACGTTCATGTACGGAATTAGACGCGACCTACTGTAGATTTTGAACATCAGATATAAAGTGTTTTTATTAGATGTTGATGTAATGTCATTTTTGATGAATTAAAAAGTTTTTAATGTGACCTTGCAGGATTATATTAAAGGAATAGGAATGGATGGATTGATGTCTGTCTAATATAAATATTCATCATTAAAAAAGAGGTACCATGACAGTTTTTTTGTTGACATCAACCTTCTAAGTGAGAAATTCGTGTTTTAAGACACTATTTTTTTACTTGAGAATAAGTTCATGGGCTGCGCCGCCATTTTTGGCGTTCTGTCATTCTCGCGAGACAGACGAGACCGAGATTGGGTGACGTGTTTTATAGCCCACTTCCGGTATAGGTGTACACGCTGGTACAACTGAAATATATCTTGACGAAAACCTTATTAATTTTATTGCGCACATTATTTATTATTTATGAAAAACATCTATGGAACTGAATTGCTTTAAATTAATTAATTGAAGACGCCGCGGTATTTTCAAGCTTGCTGATGATCCCACCACATGATTTAAGCAATGACTGCTTAGTTTTCAAAAGATAAACCATCAATTTAATTTGGGTACTTTGAGAAACTTTTCAAATTGACGATATATCCTTTTATTTTGGTACTTAATTTTCGCTAGACAAGCTGGTCTGAATAGGGTACATCGCCAGTCATGTATCTTTTTTTCTCAGCGGTAAATATCAACTAAATCCAATATGCAGATTATTTCCTGAGGACTCGATTTTCCGACATTGACGCTAAAAAATAAAATGGCGCAAGAAATCGGCAGCTAGACCTAATATCGTATGAAAACAAAACTGTTCCCGTTAGGTTATTTAGGCACCCAGTCAAAACTGGTACCAACAGCAACAGGTTGCCCATTCCCCTATAATTACGCTATTCTAGGGTTTATCCAGTTCCCTAAAGCTTTTTCTTCGTTATCTACTTACCAAATTCCTTTCCCCGACAGATAGCCCATTTCTACTACCGTAAATTTAATCCAATAAAAAAAAAATCATAAATCTACTTAATATTCAAAATGATAATTGTAAACTGAAAAAATGTGTTGCTTTTGTATGAAATGCTGTAATTTACAGCTATAACTTGACAGGTGCGGGAACTTAATTTCCCCTAAGGTCATTCAGTTCAAAATGATGAAGCGTAAAAAAAAATGTCTATTTCGTCATAAGAATATTGACAAGGGTTGATTAAAACCAATCAGGGCAACATTGTGCATGATCAAAAGGTTCTGTCGGCACCAGAGGCGTACAAGGAGCAATAAAAATCGTTAGTACACAGTGTGACAGGACATTTGGTGCAAATTAGGAACAATTAAAAATGGATAATGCACAGTATTAGTCATAAGTAGTAAGAACCAGCAATTGTGTGAATAAATTATGCAAATGAGATTTTTGAGCAGCCAATAAAAATGTTTTGCATGCAGTTAATATTAGGCTACGATTACGATGTAAATGAATACCACGAAGCATCATACGTACGTTGACAGACATGTAAACAATTTACTTTTCAAAAGAGTTGCTTATATTTTTGAAATGTGGACATCACTACTAACATATGTTCACACCTTTTAATTAGAAAATCAGAATCAAACTGCAAAAATTTAATTACATGTACTATTAAGAACACGATTTAGTAGGATTTAAATAATAATGATAATGATCGCCGTTCAATAAGTAACAGCCAATTATTCGTTGGTGGGTTTGTTTATTTAATTACATTATTTGATTGTGAAACTTTGTTAAATAATAACATGTGTATTTATTAACTCTGTGAAATATTGTTTAATTACATTAAGATGAGACTTTAATGAACATAGCATTGTTTGGAGTAACGGGCATCACTGGCCTGAAGTTTTGCGACCGGTAGACGTTGATTTTTTATTTTGTTTCTTTATTAATTATTTTTATTTTTTTGATATTGTTACGTATTTTGTAACAATAAAAAATCGGGCCTCTACACCTCCTGTGAAAATTAAATTGTCTGGTCAATACTTTATTATGTAATATTTCGCTACGATTCAACTGAGATTTATCATAAATCTAAAGATGTGGGGAAATGACATCACGCGCACCTGTTTTTATACGGCCAATACACAAACATGGCCGCGCCTACTGATTTGTAGAAATCGGCGATTTGGCGATTTAAATTTCGTTATCATTCGTTTAATATTATTATTTGGCGGCAGAAAATTTGCAGATTTATTATTTATAGTATTCGTTTTCTGAAATCAAGTTTTTATTCTAACCTTGTTTTTCCCTTTAATGATGATACTGATATCAAGTGCATTACATCATAGAAGTGGTAATTGCGGCATAAAGATTGTCACATCCAATTTTTCTAACGTTGGCATCTTAATTTTTCCAAATATTTAGCCGCCAAGAATTCCAAATCTCAATGTTATATCCTAAAGTATGCTTAAAAGAAAATGAAAACATTGGCAAATTAACCACAGGTGCATAACTACACATTGCTGACCAACATTCTTCCAATTTGAGTTTCATGACTAGCTCAATCACATTTTGAGGTACACATGACACAACATTTTCAAATGTTTTTAGGCAGTCAAGGGCAATTTAACTCTACAAATACTTAATGACTATATACATTGTAACTGGAACAAAATTTAATTAATCCACACGCAGAACCCCAGGTGCACCTCACACTCCTGTAAAATTTATTGACTCTATAGCTGAAGCACTTTTAGAGCTACATGTGACACATTTTGAAAGGAATGCATGGACAAGGGCAAATTTTAGAATAGAGCACCCCCCCCCCCCCCCTCAAAAAAAAAAAAATTGGTTTAGATTCTAATAGCTTTATTAAAAAACTTACATTTTATATTTTATTAATCTAACATGCTTATCGACATTCTTGCCAATTCACATTTAAATGTCTGAAATTACTCATCGTCGGATACCCAATGATAGAAATTAGGGCTGGGGCGAGTATCCAAGTACTCGGATAATCACGAATCAAAATGAAAATTTGAGCTTGAATATTCGTAATTTTTTTATATACATTCACTGTTTCTTACACTCATAAAATCGAGAAAAGTACAATTTGAGTATAAATTATATGAAGTTTACCTAAACTAGAAATGTGTCATCATGCCACGGATGCCCCCGCATGCAGCCAAAATTTCAAATGTTATAATATTTAGTTCCAAATTTGTTTGCACAAATTATTTTTTTTCATTCTAAGTTCAAAGCCCTTAAAAACTTTTTCAATGTTAACACAAACCATTTTTTATACAATGTTCAAGGCACTAAATTATTCAGTCTTAACCAATTTTTATACAATGTTCAAGGCACTGAAAACTATTCAGTCTTAACCTTTTAAAAAAATAGCATATTGCATATTTGTAGCCAACATAATGGCTATATACATTTCCACAAAAGTAATGAGTGCTGAAACTGAAAGTTCAAAATTTTTTCCAACATTCAGGAAAGATAAGTTTTGTCTAAAAATCATTGAACCACCGACCAAGTTCAAACTTAAACCTGCTTATTCCTAAGATGTATCTATATTATTTTCAAAAGTGAAAGGGACATAACTCTGCCAAAAAAATCATCGAACCATGACCAAATTCCAACTTGACCTGCGCATTCCTTTGACATATCCATATGTCAATTTTGAGTTGAATATGTAACACTGTTGGGTTGATAATGAACAGAAACTGTAAATTTCATATCATTTTCAAAGTGAAAGGGGCATTACTTTGCCAAAAATCATTGAACCATGACCAAATTCGAACTTGGCCTGCGCATTCCAAAAACATATCCATATGTCAAGTTTGAGTTGAATGTGTAATATTGTTGGGGAGATAATAAACGGAAACTGAAAATTTCATATCATTTTCAAAGTGAAAGGGGCATTACTCTGCCAAAAATCATTGAACCATGACCAGATTCGAACTTGGTCTGCGCATTCCAAACAAACAATATCCATATGTCAAGTTTGAGTTTGAATGTGTAATATTGTTGGGGAGATAATAAACGGAAACTGAAAAATTTCATATTATTTTTTAAAGTGAAAGGGGCATAACTCTGCCAAAAATCATCGAACATGATCAAATTTGAACTTGACCTGCGCATTCCTTTGACGTATCGATATGTCAAGTTGAGCTAAATGTGTTGTACGATTGGGGAGATATATGAACGGAAACTGAAAATTTCATATTATTTTCAAAGTGAAAGGGGCATAACTCTGCCAAAAATTCATTGAACCATGAACCAAATTTGAACTTGACCTGCGCATTCCTTTGACGTATCCATATGTCAAGTTTGAGTTGAATGTGTTGTACCATTGGGGAGTAAATGAATGGAAACAGAAAATTTCATATTATTTTCAAAGTAAAAGGGCATAACCTGCCAAAAATTCATCGGAACCATGACCAAATTTGAAACTTGATCTGTATTTTCTCATGACATATCAATATGTCAAGTTTGAGTTGAATGTGTTGTACCGTTGGGGAGATAATGAACGGAAACTGAAAATTTCATATTATTTTCAAAGTATAAAGGGGCATAACTCGTTGCCAAAAAATCATCGAACCATGACCAATTTCGAACTTGACCTGTATTTTCTCATGACATATCCATGTGTCAATTTTGAATTGAATTGTTTGAACCGTTAATGGGAGATAATGAACGGAAACTGAAAATTTCATATTATTTTCAATGTAAAAGGGGCAATAACTCTGCCAAAAATCATTCGAACCATGACCAATTTCGAACCTTGATCTGTATTTTCTCCATGACATATCCATATGTCAAATTTGAGTTCAATATGTGC